AACCCCAACCCTAACCCCAACCCCAACCCCAACCCCAACCCTAACCCTAACCCTAACCCTAACCCTAACCCTACCATGTGTGAAAATTTGGAGTAAATCCATCTTGTGGGTTTCCTGGAATCGTGATGACTAGAAAGTGAGACTTCAGAATGCCACCTTGTCTAACCCCCTGTTTCTATCAATATAAGAGGTGTTTTCTTATGAGGGAAGTCTGTTCTTTCAAACGGTACAATCGTTTTTGATGGGAAAGTACCAGACAACAAAACTTGTTTTCAGAGAGACCAGATTAGGGACTATGTGGAATGTCAAAACCTGGTCGGTCTTTAGAATATGGAGTTGGGTCGTGTACCTACTTGTATAAGCTTTATTTAGAGACATCATTTGCGGCTGTACGGGCGATATCATGCGACTTATAATTCGATCGCATGACTCATTCTAAAGCCACAAAATAAGGCAATTCTTCCATTACGACCGAAAAATCATGCATATGACGGTATAGCTTGACGGCCCCAGGCCCCCGCTTAGGCCACTATATCCTTCGGGGCTATACCTGGTCGGCTACACGGTCTCTTAGCTTCGTTTTCTTATGTGTTATGGCTGAAACACATACGTGCAAAGAACACCTGTGGAATGTCCGGACCTAGTTGGTCCGTAAAACATATGGGTCGTGTAGCAGCTTGTGTCAACTTCGTTTAAAGACATCATTCGCGGCTGTACGGGCAATATTGAGGTTCAGATCGAAAAAACAACAATTTCGAACACCGGAAGTTGAGCCATCTTGTTACATTGACGTTCCGTCAAAGTACTCGTAACTATAGTTGTGGAACAGTGACTGACTTGAAGCCGCCAAAATAAGCGAATTCTGGTCTGAAGCGCGCTGAACACGTACGCACAAAGGCTTTTAGAATGGCCGTACTTGATCATATCGTCGAATGTGTCCTTTTTGTGTCATCACATATTGTTATATTCTCCAACTTTTTTGTGGACGGTGTACGGCAGTAAGTATTCCATGGTCAGCCTTGACATATGTAACAAATGGTAGCCGGTGACATTGTGTAAGTTAATGTCTCGTTAATGGCTGATATGAGGTAATTTTGGAATAAGTGAATACTTATTCCAATCGGGTTAGAGCAGTATCAGTTGTCATTATTTCATAGAGGCTGCTACAATAAGATCGGTGAGACCAATAAAATCATTTGCAAAATAGATTAATCACACGATGCATTAGATGACAAAATTAATAACAATAACAATACTATTTTACTTGGCATGTTTTCAGGGTTTATCTTTATTCATAAACTCACTTTAATACGAAATATGATTTATGAACAGAACAATATAGGACTTACAGCAACAATGCTATTCGAAATTGAATGAATGGATTATTTATGGTAGCTTATCATAATAAGACATTTTATATAATGGTACTTCTACTATCACCCAATGCAGATAGATCGCCTAAAATTCCATTCGTATGATGCGAGTCTCGACATTCACAAGGAAAGTAGAAACATTTTGTCACCCATGAAGTAAATTTTTTACTGTTTAATAAATGGTCAAGGACAGGTACATTGAGTTTTGTAAGTATGAGAATGGCATGATGTCTTGATATTTCAAGGTACCTCGTTCGAAAAGTGATAGCGGTGATCGAAATTACGATGTAACGATAAAACCGTAATAAAATATTTGTAGATTTCTTTGAAAAACTAAGAAATATACATCACATATCGAATTTTTCAAAACAGAAAAAACATGTATAAAATGTAAGGCCTGCAGGTTAGATTCCCCCTGGTAGCATTAACATGACATGTCATTAATTGATATTTGAAATACACCTATCATTCGAACTTATGATCGAGTAGTATGATGTTACTTTATAATATTACATTGTAATTCACACCATACTTATGTCCGATCATAAGTTTGAATAATGTTCAAATATTAATTGTATGACTTATATGAGACCAATGTTAATGCTACCAATGGGAATCGGACCTACATGCCTCATTATTTATACATGTGTTTTCTGTTTTGAAAAATTTAATATGAGAAATATATTTCTTAGTTTTTCAAAGAAATCCACAAATATTTCCTGGTGAATGTCGAGTCTCACATCATACGAATGTAATTTTAAGCGACCTGTCTGCATGGTGTGGTAATATAGCATCTATTTCATCTGTATAGCCTATGTTCATTCAAATGCATTTGTCTGAGATGTATATCACTGTGACAAATCTATTTAAAACGGTATATTCAATTTATATCCTTCATGGGCTGTATCTGAATAGCAATGTGTCCTACACATAACGCGTCATTCTTTTGAAGCCACATCCCTCAAATTTCCATATTCAGGTACAACCTGAACAGAAAGTGGCTGAATTAGACACGTTGATCTGGTTTTACTAAACTATTCACTATTACATATTTGGAATATACCTTGTTAAGGGATAAAATATCTCTTTACAAACCACTCATGCATTGCCTTAATGATATATGAGCCTCAATACGGAAAAACCGGTCTCATCATACATATGAAATTGTGCTACATAGCCAAAATGTGCCCAAGATTTAAGAGGAAATGTGCTAAATTCAAATCCATGATAAAGACATATAAACCATGGCTCATTTGAAAAGTCTCTTGTGCTTTTTAAGATAAACAAAAATCCAAAATATTGAAAATGTTGTGATAAGATCCCCTTTCCTGTTCTCTCTCTCTCATATATGTGCGTATGCGTGATAATATGAACAAAGCTAAACCAGACAAAAAGAAGAAAGTGGATAGAGGGATTCAAAGCAGGATGAAGATTAGTAGTTAGTGGGAAAATCTTGTTTGATCAATGTCGACAACAGTTATTGAACAACGATACAAATTCTTATATGATTGCTTGATGTTTACTGAACGACTCATAATTAAATGGACATTACTAAGTATGGGGAGGGGATACATAAAGGCATGTTTGGAAAGAAAGTAAAGAAAACATGCAGTTGAAGCACGGGTAACACTAATACTGCGCCTACCAACAACATCCATGACCACGTGCTAGATGCATGACTACATTTACACTGGTGATCCGCTCGATTACGCTGGTTACCGAAACGGTACCAGCGTAATCGAGTGAATCACCGGTGATTTACAGAGTATGTGTGTTGCTTTTTGATAATAATCCTTGTAAGGATATGAATATGACTAAAATCCTCTTTGCATATAGTTTTTATGTCGGTCTGCTTCAAGCGCTTGCGATTGTTAGTAGAAAGAAAATACAAGGATGGACAGATAAGAAAATATATTTATTTCATTGAAAACACAAACATTAACTCTTAAAGACGACGTAAGTATTTTTCTTAAGTATAAGATGGATTATGAAGGAACAAGGATTAATAATATAGAAAAATGCTTCGAACATTTACCAAAAAGCATCTGGTCAATTCACCAGTATTTAAAACTACAAACTAGATTTCACACTCATCTTGGCATATGTCAATTTGATCTTTTTACATAAGTTACAAAAGCATAAAAATCCTCAATACACATCTAACAATCATAAAACCAAAAATTGAGCAATGTTACAACATTGTTATAACAATATAGCAAAGACTGTTCATGTTTGCATTTATTTTGGTTTTCTCGCCATGATGGTATCTGACCAGGCCTCTCCTTCAACCCAAGACACTTGGACATCAACAAAGCCAGCCTGCTTAAGAATATCGCTGAAATCGTTCGGTGATCTGATGTAGCTATCTCTTAACAAGGCAAGGAATCTAGCCTCATCCATTGCAGCCTTTAGAGGCCCTGTTTTCTCGTTGTTCCAGAATGTTTCAAGAATCACAATGGCGCCACCTATTAATAATTTGAAAGTTAGAAAGCACAAAACGATATGTGGATCTAGGAATAGACAGAAAACAAAAGAGACAACACAGACTTTAATGCAATCGTATCTGCATCATATTACGTATCGATCGTGTATTCACCGCGTGTAAAGTTATCATGTTAAAGACTTAAAAATGCCTTTAGAGGTAAATGTAATGTTGTTAGGGTTCTTCGAATTTCCAACTCTCTTTGGAGAGTGGAATGGAGACGTTTAACTAAAGTTGATTGATATCCACATTAGACTCTGTTTAATGTGATTGAAACAATACATACTGAACATGACATGATGCTTTATTCTGTCTAATTATTGTCTCATTTCATTTACCTGGATTGAGACTGCCAAATAATTTCTTCACAAGGCCGACACTTTTGGCAACTGGATGGTCGTGGAAGACATGAGACACAAGATAAAGATCTGCAGATGGGATGGGATCCTCAAAGAAGTTACCTGCGGATTACGATAGAGTTTAAATATAAAACATTTAAGAAGGTTGTATAATGGATAAATAGAAAGAAGCTTCACTGTGCTAAACATGAATAAACGGATGATGCCTAACTACGGCAATTTGTTTATGTTATACTTCAGAGTCTCGGACAAAGTACAGAAATATACTTTGCATCTGTTTGCATTTTAACATCAAGACAATATGACGCCACCAGATATGTGCGAAAACGGCATTAGCTATATCATGAAAACAATCGGATAAGACTGATAGTTGGGGTTTTCAAATCATAGAAATACGTTACCCTCATGTGTTTTGACTTTGTATTGTTTAGCGTTCTTTGGCATGAATTTTTCCCTGTACTGTAATACCACGGGTAAGTCGAAATGTGTGATTTCCATATCTGGGTAGAGTCTGGCGAGTGCCCATGTGTTGACTCCCGAGCCACCTATTAGTTGATATATATATATTATATTAAATTTTGCTACTCACTATTATTTACAACTCAAAGTAATAACTTATAGTTTATAACTCTTAATTCGGGCATAATTGGCACCATGAGTTCAGATAACATTGATGCAATGGTAAATTGAATCACTAGTGAAATAGAATAGAAGAATTTGACTTATGAGATTAAATTCTTAAAAAAATACCTACAGAAAAGGGAGGACGTAGAAACACTAATTTTTACAGTAAATTAAGCATATGCACCACTTACACCAATGAACATTTACAATAATCAACCCTTGAAGAACTCACGTTTGATTATAAGACATTTAAAAAAACATATTTCCAACTGGATAGGCCAATAATCAGTTTACTTACCACCAACATCTACTGCAGTTTTGAACTCACTGAGATCAAATGAAGTTAGGCATTTATTGGTCATACCGATAGCTATGCCTTCCTGTCCGTCTATAAATTCATATTGTTCCTGAGGAGTTTTGTAACAACCGATCTCCGTATCAAAGATTTTGTCGGCTGGGACACCAATAGCATTCTCAAGTTGGCTATCACCTAATGATATATGATGCAAATATAGATACAAATCATCAAAATACAAATAGTATATAAAAGTACAAATTATAAGAACACAAGTTGTAAAATACATATTGAGATACTTGCAGTTGTATATTTGATATGTAACATCTCACTTCACGAATATGGTAATTTTTTGCATGTTTAAGCTTTGGATGTATAGAGGACCATGACCCATATTTTGCTTATGCACGTTTTTAGGAAGACGACCCATATTGAACTTCCGTACGTATTGAGGGTGACCAGCTATCTTTAACTTATATTGTATAACTTTGACTTGTATAGAGGACAATGACCCATATTAAGCTAAATGTATGTATTAAGGAAGACGACCCATATTTAACTTCTGTATGTATAGAGGACAATCACACATATTTAGCTTATGTGTGTATCTAGGAAGCCGACCCATATTTAACTTCTATATGTATAGAGGACAATCACCCATATTCAACTTATGTATATATTGAAGACGACCACTCATATTTAATTAATAGTACTAAGGGCAATATAGTGAAATATTGGACCAAGGGCCGAAGGCCCAAGGTCCAATATTTCACTATATTGCTCGCAGAAATGACGTTATTAGTATTATTACCACCGTTAACGACCAGGTCTGAAATAGCAAGAAAATCTTACGCACTGAACGATATCTAATTTCCCGGGGAAAGATTGCCGGTCCAGAATATATTCTAGACCGGTCCATATGGACCACCACTATGACGTCACACATTTCTCAGGTACATATAGTAAAATGAATGCCTTCTAAACTAGCACTAAAACCCCTAGAACTGGCCCGGTAAGGTGGTAATAATGTATGTATTGAGGACGAGCAGCTAAATTAAAGTTATGTATGTGTAGACGACGATGACCCATATTTAGCTTTTGTGTGTTTTAAGGAAGACGACCCATATTTAAATTCTGTATGTATAGAGGACAATAATACTTACATTAATTTAGGAAAGCCTCCCATATTTAGCTTATTAGTTATTTGAATTTTGTATGTATTGAGGACGACCACCTATATTTAACTTATGTATGTATGAGGACGATCACAATTATTTAGCTAATGTATGTATTGGGGTTGACAAGCTATAGTTTAAGTTAAGTTATTAGTAAAATCAAAATATAGAACTGAAGATAATCTCGCCTAAAACGTCTTTCAAGCCCCCCCCCCCATGACCCCCATCAGTATTTCCACTCTCTTAAAAGAATCATTTCGAAAATGGTATGGTACAGGACCATTTAAACAATCGTGTGCAAGTTACTTAAATCTTTCCTGCTACCGAGATCATAGTTTTTCCTTTCCTTGAAACCCCACCACAACAGTCACTTAACTAGAGGTGTCAAGTATTAACCGGTTAACCGGTTAACCGCCGATAATGCCTTGACCGGTCTGAGTTTTTAAGGGCGGTTAGTTGACCGTGTATAATTCTGTTATTTCCCGCGCTTATTTTGCATGCTAATCCGTTTGGTTTTATGGTGTCAGTTTCACGTAAGCTACTCATACATGTCATAAGTCCCATAACTCCTTACAAACATCCAATCAGCAACTTTAATCCCTGCCACATTGCTTTCCCGCGCTTACTTTGCATTTTAATCTGTTTGTTTTTCAAGGTCAGTTTCATGTGAGCTACTCATACATGTGATAGGTTCGATAATTCCTTACAAACATCCAATCAGCAACTTTAATCCCTGCCACATTGCTTTCCCGCGCTTACTTACATAGAATAGCGTAAAGCTTGACGAACGTAAAAAATAAACGCCGATATATCATTTTTCCAATTTTTTTCAACTTTCAAGATCGAAGATGAAGATTTCATTTGAAATTATCAGTTCAAATTTCCCGCCGGTTAACCGACTTTAACCGGTAAAAACCCCCGGTTAACCGGTTAATGCTCAAGCGGTTAATTGACACCACTCACTCAGTGAGTCACAGTAGAGTTACACAGGAGACTATGCAAAATCACAACGGAAAACCCTGGCGACGGTAAAGTCAGATACCATTGTCACAAATGGTGGACATAACCATCGCTTCGACTCTTCAATCACTTGCTGGTTCTCATTTCATGGGACTTTATTGTCGCTAATTCTGTGCATGTATTAAGCTCTTGTGATAACATATTATATGAAATGCCAATGTTGATTAAATGTGGTCGTGAATTGCTACAATATACCATCTTCCATATCGTCAATGACAACGGAATCTGGATTTCAAAACATTAACAGAGAAAGGATAGATCTGAAATACAGCATCCGTTGTCCCGTGTCATATTTTGATTGGTAAAATTAAAGGCGTTATTTCGATGGTAGAACATATTTAATTGTTAGTACCTCAATTTAAATACTCAATTCTGATTGGTTGATGAGCGGTCAAACATATGTACTGTTGACTGCTACTAGGTACTGTTGACCGCTACCTTTGAAAAAAATGTTTTTTAAATGTTGAACTTTTTTTAATTTTGAAAGAATTTGAAAAAATAAGTTGTGAAAAAATTACAAATATTCGACGGTTTGGGGAATTTTTTGCTAAAATATGATACCTACACTTATCAAATACATGTTCACGTGATATTCGATAATAATGTATATCCTTCCAATTATTATATTCTTCAGACTAACAAAACAATTGTTAACCTCTCTATTCGGTCAACTGGCAAAAGTGTATACCTCAACAAGGTTTACAGTATCGGTAAACAATTTTGCAATTGGCCGCCATTTGTGACAAGGGTATCTGACTTGTCAGGATACTAGTATAGTATTCTCGTGTGAAGATGGCGCTATTGAAATTACCTGTTCTGATAGCATTAGCGAGCCAAGCCTGTGTTGGTATCTCTATTGTGCGCTCGTAAACTGCTGCCCCTGCCATACAATCGGGACTGGATCTGACAAGATATTTAGAGCTTAACGGCTCATTCGTATAGGTTTCTGAAACCACAAATTGTAAACCTGAGATCATTTTAGGCTATTAGTAAAGGTAAATATCAATTCGATTTGACAAAATGGTATTTACTGGCCTTGACTGAACAAACTATTGTTATTTGAACTGGGGAGATATTAATGCTGATTTTGACGATTTTACCTTCTTCTGAGTTTTTCTTGACAAGTTTCATGGCTGTGAGAACGTCAAGGAAGCGCTTTGTGTAAGGTGCATTAAGTTCAAGGTTTTTGGCTACTTCGGTTGCCTTCAGAGGTTTACCAGCTCCCTCTAGGTGGTCAAAGATCTTCAAATCAACAGCCGCAACAAGAGACTGTAAAGAATAACGGAATGTAGAAATTATTGCAGTAAGTGATAGATTCAAACACACAACGCATGAAGATAATAATGAGCGGTTGAGGGAACCACAGTGATAATAAACATACGAGACAAAACACAAACAAAACATGTACACATTAAGGAAAAGAACGGGGTTAAAACATAACATAACAAACATAACATAACATAACAAACATAACATAACACAACATAACATAGCAAGCATAACATAACATAACATAATATAGCAAGCATAACATAACATAACATAACATAACATAATGTAACATTACAAGCATAACACAACAAACACAACACAACATAACATAGCATACTGTAACATAACAAAACATAACACAACATAACATGTCAAAACAAACATAACATAACATAACATAACATAACATAACATAACATAACATAACATAACATAACATAACATAGCATAACATAACACAACATAACAAACACAACATAACATAGCAAGACAAAACATAAAATAACATAGCAAAACAATCATAACATAACATACCACAACATGACATGACATGACATGACTTGACTTGACATGACATGACTTGACATAACATAACACTACAGACGTGTTTCATGAAACACATTGACCTCTTGTCATTAAAAGCCGGCATAAGTCTATGAGCACAAATACGAGATAGGGTTTATGACATTTGATAGATTAAGACGTATGTAGCCAAAAACTACTGATTTTTGACAAAAAAAGTGAACGAAATTTACAACTTTGAAATGAAATCAAATGATTAACTTTTAGAAATGGTAAACTAGCTAAAGCATGTTAATGTTCTTGGAGTAATCTTTGATTCCAAGTTAAAATGGGCTCACCATTTTTATTCACTCTGCACCAAAATTTCAAATTCAAATGGATTGATATTTAAAACTCGGCATACATTAACATTAACTGCCTTGTTAACTTGTCTTATTATTGTAAAGTAATTCCTATCGTATGGGAATATTCTATTGGGCAATGCAACAGAAATCATGTGTGGTGATTTTTCATTTTGCAAAAGAAATTGAATAATGAAAAACTCTGAAAGAACTGTTCATCCAAGTCCAATATTTAAGAAGTTCAAAATATCATGAAAATATAACTTCTACTTTATGCAGAATACTGTGACTGAATCTACAGTTTCCCATTCGAACTGAGACTTTTCGAAAATCAGAGGAACAATCCTTTATTATTCTCTGGCAACAGACCTTAATTTTAGCAGCTCCCCACTCCCAGCAGGTACATGTAAATCGAATTCCCCACTCCCGGGACGAAATTCTGCACCAAATTCCTAATCCCAGGGCAATATTGCGTATCAAGTTCCCACCCTCCCCCCGTGGGGGGTCTCACGCAATTTTTTTTTTTTAAATTCAAAGCTTACTATTTTGAATGATTTTAAAAATGTTTACTCAAATTAATTGAATTGAATTAATCGTGACGGATTAAAATAAACCGCATTAACCGGATTTATACCATTTCTCCCGAGCGAAATCAAAATCTTTTCAATCCCAAATAGTATGTTCTGTCCTCATTGTTCGAAACATGCAAAATAGTTAAATCTTCATTTTACCGGAACGATCTTACACTTCCCAATCAAGTGCTTCCCTGGCAGCACGTTTAAATATCAAATCATGTTTGTGACAACCAATAGACGAAAGACTTTTAATGAACACAGGTTCGTGTATATCCGAAATGCGCCGACACATGTACACTTCCACTGTATATATTCTATATCAAAATCATGAAAGTGCATGAAAGCCTTTTCGAAAAACAAGTAAAACACTTGACCCTTTAGAAACGATTTTTAAGTTACTTTAGCAGAGTTTTTCGTGTAAGTGCAGTAATAAATTACCAATATGATCTAAGTGATAAATTGTCATCACATGACAAGTTCAGCTGATATAAAATGTGTCATTCATCATGTCAAACAAATTATAAGCACAAGGTCTTACGCAAAGTCTTACGCACTTCTCAAGAATTTACTCGAACATCTATTCGTTTAAAAATGCCCAAATGGATCCCTGGTTTAAATGTATGAGAGCCTAGATGGAATTAAAATGCTACAGCATCATTCACTCCAGTACTGTTCCTGTTTGTGGTGATATCTACCAAGAATGTATGTGTCTAATACTCATTAAGGTAATCGGGTAGATGGGAATCATCAAAAATAGGACTAACTGCCCCTTGATTATATTGTCTAGTTGAGTATGTATGGGCATCTGGCTGGTATCGACTTTGAAAGTAAGTATGAGGAATTAGGTCACTATTGTATTTGTATGTTCTATTCAGTGTATTGCGTTGAGAACCCGTGTAGCAATGATAACTACGTCACGTTAACACCGACTTTAACACTAACCCAATTGGATGTTCTAATACATTCTTAATAATTACCCTGAGAAAAGATGTGTAGAGTATCTCGACTTTCTGCCCTAAGTGTCTCAAAAATTGATAAAAAGAGATATGATGAGATAATTGTGACAGTTATGACACTTGTAACGACAACATAGTCATTTATAATTGTAACATAATTTTTGATCTAGTTTAATTAATTAGTTTTGCGAATCGTAATCTTGTTATATGTTGCTATTTATGGCATGATGCGCGCTTGTGTTATCAGTCATTTAGTTCCAGATGACCATTTAACCTTGTACGAGTTCTTTAACACAGTTTTTATCAGTTCAGCTGATTGTATTGCATGTACATACCTTTATTGTATTAAGGTCATGCTAAACTACTCAGTCCATTACTGACATTGTCACATCTAAAGAACATTGAGTTATTTTACAAATTGAAATCATTCATAATATTATTTCTGCCCTTCATGTTCCTGATCACTTTGTGAAAAGCTTTGGGAAAAGCTTATTTCATGATTATTTCACATAATCATTCTATCTAATGTCGACTGATATACTAAAATTGGCGAATCTTCCATAAACATAACATGATAGGGCGAAGTGGAAATTATCCACAAAGTAGGAATTTACAAAATGAATTGATACAAGTCGCCTACCATACCCCCTGTCGATAGCCTGTCTTCCCCTTTGGTAAGAATTTTCAAAATAGTAATTACATTGTGCCAGAATGAAGATAATATACCAATATCAACTTTATCAAAATCCCCCAAATCTAAGTACGTAATTTCATACATAATTTTATGGTTAAGTTTCAAAATGTATAGCATACTTAGCCTATTGTATGGCATATACAAGTAACACGGTTTATAATATGGCATCATGACCTCAAGTCTCTTCAATTTACTTTTGTATTTATAAGTTGAATTTGTTGATAGCAGCATCATTCGAAAGATTATTCAAGGGTATCAGGACCCTTTTTACCAATAGAAAACTGTCCAATAGTGGTCTTAAATTTCCCAGGTCTAAGTTTAAACTGTTGTATTGTCAGAAGATGATGTATATCTCTATTTGAAGTGAAATGATAGTGAAACCTCCACAAGTACGAACTACGAAGTACAAAGTACCCCTTGAATGATTAATAACATTATATCATATTCTGGGGTGTGGGTGCTTATGGGCGATTTCATAGCACATTCTTATAACCCTAGGATCTCTCGATTGAAGACCACTTCCCCATAGATGACTAGGAAGCAATTTATTTGTTTACATTCCAGGACATACAAATCAATATGAGCCAAAATATCCACGCACGGTACGGTTCATCGATTTCGACCTGTACGAGAAGAATGAATGTAGACAAAAATTATTTGATAATTTGCTACAATTCACTGTTGGCTCGTGAATCAAAGTAATATTCTTTTCAATCAAATTGTCTGAAAATCTCCCTGTTTGCAAATGGTACCAGTTAAATTATGCTTACAAAGTGGTACAAGTTGATTTATGCTTGCAAAATGATATCAGTTGAATTATGCTTGCATTATGATCCCAGTTGAATAAGGCTTACAAATGGTACCAGTTGAATTATGCTTGCAAAATAATATCAATTGAATTATGCTTGCATTATGATTCCAGTTAAATAAGGCTTACAAATGGTACCAGTTGAATTATGCTTGCATATTGGTAACAGTTGAATTAGGCTTACAAAATGGTACCAGTTGATAGTTGAATTATGGTTGCAAAATGGTACAAGCTGAATTACGCTGCAAAATGGTACACGTTGAATTATGCTTACAAAATGGTACCAGTTGAATTACGCTTACAAAATGGTACCAGTTGAATTATGGTTGCAAAATGGTACCAGTTGAATTATGCTTGCATAATGGTACTAGTTGTTTTATGCTTACAAAATCATATCAGTTTGATTATGCTTGCATAATGGTACCAGTTGAATTACGCTTTCAAAATGGTACCTTTTTAATTAGGCTTACAAAATGGTACACGTTGAATTAAGCCTACAAAATGGTACCAGTTGAATTATGGTTGCAAAATGGTACAAGTTGAATTACGCTTGCAAAATGGTACACGTTGAATTATGCTTACAAAATGGTACCAGTTGAATTACGCTTGCAAAATGGTACACGTTGAATTATGCTTACAAAATGGTACAAGTTGAATTATGCTTGCAAAATGGTACCAGTTGAATTATGGTTGCAAAATGGTACCAGTTGAATTACGCTTACAAAATGGTACCAGTTGATAGTTGAATTATGCTTACAAAATGGTACAAGTTGAATTAAGCCTACAAAATGGTACCAGTTGATAGTTGAATTATGCTTACAAAATGGTACAAGTTGAATTAGGCTTACAAAATGGTACAAGTTGAATTAAGCCTACAAAATGGTACCAGTTGATAGTTGAATTATGCTTACAAAATGGTACAAGTTGAATTTGGCTTACAAAATGGTACAAGTTGAATTAAGCCTACAAAATGGTACCAGTTGATAGTTGAATTATGCTTACAAAATGGTACAAGTTGAATTAAGCCTACAAAATGGTACCAGTTGATAGTTGAATTATGCTTAAAAATGAAAATGGTACAAGTTCAATGAGGCTTACACAATGGTACCAGTTGAATTATGGTTGCAAAATGGTACCAGTTGACTTATGCCATGCAAAATAATACCAGTTGTGTTATGCTAACAATTTTGTTTGAAATGCACAAGCCTCGTGTGGCAAATATTGAGCTGTGTCAATCCAGTATTAATAAGTAATAACTTGTATTGCATGTATGTTATTTACTTTCCTCCATAAGTTTCATTCTTTTCAGTGATGTTGTATAAAAGTATTTGCTACTTTAAATTACAGTAAATTGGATTGAAGCAAATTACTCAACCCTCCACCTGTTCGTAAAAACTTTAATAATATAGATATTGACTGATTTCAAGTCAGACACTGACAGTATGCCTGTTCGTCTCATCCCCATCACAATATTTTTCAAAGTAATAAATAATAAAAAATGATAATTGAAAATCACTCACCCATGTCTTGATGAAGCCATTGAGGTATTCATATAACAATTCCGGGTATTCGGTGTTTGTGGCAGCCATTGTTATAGATATACTTATAAAGTAAGGTTTAGTCAAGTTGTCAACGTTCTCCTAAGAGTGGCCTATGCACCTTGCGTTCTCTTGCTAAAAAGGCTGTAAAATTTGACTTGTGACTTTATCATTAAAAAGTATAGTCTCTTTGACCCAATTTAATTAATTACATATTTATTGCAAGGACCCTGAGACAGCACAATGTAGTGGACTAACTGTCCTTATATTACTTTTTGGACTAAAACAAGGATACTCATTGTGTTAAATGTTTTATTGATACGATATCTTTATGAACTTTGATTTTGTCTGTAAATGCAAAGTGCCAAAAACTTTAAAACATTTTTAAACCAACATCATGTTGCTCGTACGTGGAGAGGTACGTTTAGAAAGCAATTCATTCTTGTACCCAAAAACAACATTTCTTGTCCGCTCATATATCATATGAGAGCACGTATAAAAGGTAACGTATTGCGTCCCCAAGATATTTTAGTCCTAAATTACATGACCCTATGACCCTGATATAGAATTACAATTGTTTAAAGTACATATCCTACTTGTCCTATCAGCACATTTTTAGGGTTTCAATGACAATTTTGAGCCAGTGGTACCTGTTACACTGCTGGGTTGAGCTGAGTATTTTTGTAACGAAGGTAAGCAAAGAAATGTGTCCACACTTGTTGAATTGTTAAAATAAAGTTTAAAAGTTATTATCATTGAATTATATTAAAATAATAAGAATATTAATATATAAGTGGGCGGGGCAGATGAGTAATGTGCACGCGCAACGAAGCATTTTATAAGTGCAGTGTAACACCAAAAAATTGCTTCGTTGGGGTTGGATAAAGCCAGTGTGGAGACAATTTTTTCGCTAACCTTCATTACAAAATGCTTCGTTCGACTCAACCAAGCAGTGCAGTGTATATTTACGTTGATCACGAGACCTCTTCATACACAGAACTTATACAGGATTTCGATCAGTCACTCCATCTTCATATTTATTACCACCTTGGGAGTCAATCATGTTATGGCGAGGTGTTCAATGCTCCAAACAGTGCCATTTATTTGATCGAACGATTTGTCAGCTATGATATGGGGATCGAGGCATTTTTTGTATAAATACTATAGTTTAGTAGGAAGGAAGGGTTTCAATGCATCTTAGCTAAACAAAGGGTGGGTATCGATATGGCGACCTTTTTGAACACACGTTTCTCTTAAACCAGTCATAAAAAAATTCTGAATATTTTACACATTGTCAATTCAATGGTCATCTTTTGAAACAATATAATTTGAAAAAAATATGTATACTTTCATCTATATTGTTTTAGAAAACACATCAAACACTTGTTTTGTTCTTGGTATCATGTTTCCAGAGTGAAATGAAACATCTTTCCGAACCTCATTGGAACAAAACGACATAAACACAACATGTTTAGGTCTCTCAATATTGTAATTCTACAAAGGAAATTTTGGTTGATTTAAAAAAATATCTTGTTAATGAAATAATGTTTATCTTGATTTTTATCTATTTTGGGGGGATTTTGTTTTAATTTTTTGAATACTTTTTTAAAATCAACCAGAAATTGTATAACTATAATATTGAGAGGTCTAAAAACATGTTGTATATGCTATTTTGTACCAACAAGGTTCGGAAAGACATTTTATTTCATTCTCAAGAATTGGTAGAATCGAGCAAAAACAAAATCACTAAAAAACAAAAAATGTTAACAAAAACAGTTATATAAAATATTTTAAAATACTTTTCGCATTAAATTGTTGTCAATCAGTCATTTTTACAGTATGTTTTCAATGATTGGTTTCAGAGAAAAACATTGTTGAATTCAGTTCTCCATATCACTCCTTTTGATTCCAATTTACAGATAACAAGGAGGATGACAACATTCCCACCCCATGTCCCATGGTGCACGTTATTTAGGGGTTATATCCGCCCCCTCTCCCCCCTAAGATAAGGACACCCCCATATTTGGTCAGTTTTTTATTTCTTCGATATCGTTGAATTTTTTATTTTCATTCATGACAAACATAGAAATAACACTAATAAACCATTTAAAGATTTATACAAATAGTTCGTATGTAACTTAACTATAAAAAAAGTGCGTACCCCAGGGGGCAAAATTATAAGCCGTTTTTATACAATTGTTGATATAACCTTTTTGAAAGGCAATACGAGGTGGTCATCAAATTTATGTAAGGAGCTTAGGAATGAACATAATAATCCTAGAAGCATTGATTGTTATCTTTAACGAAACAAAAAAACAATTTGAAAATAAAATGGGCATGCGTAAATGGGAAATTCAGAACGATACTGTCCCAGAAACAAGATCGCACACTTATGCTGGCAACATACTCCACGCTCAACTTAAGAATGATGAATCAGTTCACCAAGCAAAAAATAAATTGAATGGTAGCTTTTATTCAGTTAAACCTATTGGCACCCAAAAAGGAGGACTAAATCCAATGGTAGCAGTCAAAATACTAATGTCAGTTATATTGCCAACAGCTATGTTTGGTTGCGAACTGTGGAACAACTTATCATGTGAAAATATATACTCTTTAGATGTTGCATATCGTCAAATAGCAAAAATAATCCAAGGCTATGAACACAACGTGTCTTCTGATGTTGTTCTTTATACTCTTGGGTTGTTACCTATATCATGTTACATCAATAATGCAAAACTGTTATTTTTCGATCGCTTATGCAGAACATTTCATGTAATGACAAGGCGAGTGTTTTTATTTAGGCTGTCTTCATTTCTATTAAAGGGTGTGAGTTCACAATCAGGATTTATTCATGAAATTATGATGTTGAACCTTATCAGTGATTATGTAGACAGTTTTGTTAAAACAGGGAAAACCATTCATAAAGTACTATTTAAAAAAATGGTAAAATACCAGGTACATTCACAAGAAGAGCAAATGTGGTTAGCAAGGATAAATGCAAATAGTAATCTTGTAATGTTCAGCAACATTCAAATTCAAATTGAACCAAGTTTTGCATGGATAATAGGCAAACGAAATCCTACACACTTGTGGCAACTGGCTAACCTTGTTTACCTTTCAACTATTCCAAACTATAAATCCTTTCAATGCAAAAAATGCAATATCCTATGCAAAGATATAGTTGCACACTTCCTTAGGTGCTCATACATGTTAAACGAAAGAAATGATTTTCTTGAACATTTAGTTGACATTTTGCCAGTCAATGATAGCGTTAAGCTGTTATCAGCTTCTGAAGATATTTTTGAACAAACTATACTCGGTAGTAGAGTAGATATTTTCATAAATGATGATATTTACGATCAATTCATCATCGAGTGTGCTACATCTCTCTATCATTTAGACAGTTACTTTAAAGTAATCAAATCCTGATCCTTGTATTTACCTAGAATTGCACTATTAGAAATCACATGTCGATAATCATGATATTGGCAATGAACTCAAGCACTGTTTTTTGTAAATATGTTCCTTTGTAGTTATAATTTTTGTATATTAAAATGATGTAATTGTATATGTTTGCTCTCCCTTGTGGAGGAATAAAAGATACAATACAATACAATGCTTCACTTGTGCCTGAGAAAAATTTATGTTTTTTCAAGAATTGATATTTCAGAGAGACGTTATTTTGTGTCAGGTAACCCTTATGGTCCCTATATTTCTGCCTCTATGGTGGTATATTTGGACTTAGTATAGAACTAACACAACGGGACACACTATTTTGTAAGCACTACTAAGAAAGAATACTTTATGTGTTATCCATAAGTAATAACCACGACTAACTACTAATTCTCAGGAATAAAAAGTTCACTCTATTGAGAGATAGATAGAGTTTATCCTTGGACCAGTTACGTCTTATCCGTGTGTCATATGACTACTGTGTTAATTAACTAAGTAAAGTATTCCAATTAAAAAGTGTTGTATGTTTGCATGCAGCAAGCGTTTAATAATTCTTCGCATATATAATATTGTCCATAAAAGAGTGATATATAATATTGTCCATAAAAGATCGGTCTGATAATTACAAGTAACTTTAAAACTATTCTTTACGAATTGATGATAAGTGTATAATGTTCAATGCTCGCCAGATATGGGGGTAACCAAGATATAATAATACATACAAATCGCAGTCAGTGATTGTTCTCCACACTCACCCCTCCTCCTTCCTGACATGAACTATTTTGTAAAACCATTGACAGTGTGGAAAGGATTCTTACACTCGAGTGTCAAGGGGGGGGGGCAGTTATAAAAACTTTCAAAACTGCTCAACATGGTGAAAACTTCACGTTTTTAAAGAATGCTTGCCCGGCGAGTACCCTTTGCATTCGTTTGACTTCACTTCTTAAAAGAGCTAGACTCTGCACGCAGGGTACCCGGCGAGTGGTTTGCTCTGGATTGCGAGAGAACAAAAACTTTGAATTAGGATTTTTCCTAATACTATCATTAATCTAAACAACTTTTTAAACCGTCTCTGATTACATATCATGCCAATTAATACCATTATTGTGTTGACAGGATTAAATATGATATCTATAGAATTATAATTTAATGAACTCAATAGTCTAAATGATAATAAGTTCATAATTAAGTCTTGGCTGACTAGTCTTGCATCATCAGAGTTGGATTGCAAATACCTTCCTAAATCAAATAATTTAAATTTACAAATTTACTAGTGTACGGGGTGGGGAAACAAGTCTCCATCCAACCACTACAGTTTAAAAGGAAGACTATAGTGTCCCGTGAATTCATTATAATTATCTAAGACAATAGTGAAGCAGTACAATCATGGGAGTGTTAATTAATCGGAATGCAAGTTTGATTTAAAATAACTCCTTTGGATCAAATATTTAAATTCTACTAGAATGCGGGGAGTGGAAACAAGTTTCCATTCAAGCACTAAATATCAAAAGAAAGATTTCAGTACCCCTTAACTTCACTCCCGGACTTCACTATTCACCACACCCCCCCCCCCCCTTCCCCAGTTATCCCGTATGACCCCAGAATGTTCGTTTCTGTGCCCCCCCCCCTGTCCATGGCCAGTAAGTAATCTATGTGTATATTGGCATATTGGCTCCCTCCCAAAGGTGGGAAACCAGATGCAGGCATAGACATTGACAAGGTGAGGGGATTTAAATATAAAAATAGTCTTGTTTTTGGCTCCGACTTAAATATTTTGGCACTGTTTAACGAAGCTGGTTTAAGGAATGAGAGGCAGAAATAATTCCTAGAAATAAGATGGCCTGTCTTTACTGTAATCAAGATGCTACCTTACCGCAGTTATTTTGGGATATTGCTCGAGTTTGAATAACAAATAAAAGGCATGTTCTTATTTCTGTATTTAGTCCTTTGATTGTGTATTAAGTTGAGCTGCACGCCAAACGTTAAGATTGTTAAAACGCTTAAAATAAAACTTTATTCCTCTCAATTTACATAAAAATGAAACAGATTAGATTCGAATCTCAGTCACACCAGCCACTGGTCAAAGGAAGTACAAATATCTATATTAATCAAATGTCTGAGAATTTGATAACTGTCTGGGATCCAATGTTAATTTTATTGAATCAAACTAAGAAAAGTATAAAGATGAATTTTAAACGTTTAGAGGGAAAAGTCAAATATGCATTGTAACCCTTAAAATAATTCATTAAAGTGTCGTACACATTTCATAACATTTATATAAATAAAACAAATAAAGCACAACCCTAATGCCCTAATGAATTCATATCGGCGCTAAACGGCCCCTGCAATAAAAACGCATCAAAGCAGGGAATGCTTGGAAAATTCTTCCGAGACTGACTTTTGTTATTTCAAAATTGAAATATGCCTAATTCCTATGAAATAATCAAATAACCACGCGATCTTTTTCCCTGGGTTTTACTCTATTTTAGATTTACTAGAAAAATGTTTATATGATGATTGCGTTTGCTTCTCACGAGTTCATTGAAAAGTTCAGTCGTAAAACTTTAGAGATCAAACGACTAATTAGGCACCTGATTGCGAAAGTTTGATTGCATTTCGATCGCCGGGATTTTACAAACGTATTGTTTAAGTAGCGATGGTGTTCTTGGGATCTTGATAACTTCCTATTTTAAGTTTTGGGTTGAAAGCAATGAGTATGTCGGACTTTCTCAAGTCCATATAATGAAACAATATCCCTTTATATTAGTCCAATCGGAATTTGCATAAACATACCAGTTTTTATTGCAAAAAGAACTGTAATTAATAGCCTACATAAAAGCATCATGATAAATAAAACATAAAAGCCTATTTTTATCAAAATCCATAAATCCTCACCATATAAATATAGTTTTATTGATGACCAAAAACAGATATCAAGGGCGTAGCCAGCTTTCAGTCAGGGGGGAGGGGTGCGATCGCCAAAAAGATTTCGGTTTTCAGTCAGGAGGGTATGATTGTGGCATTTTAATGCTCCTTTCTTCTTCTTTCTCAGCGTTTTATTTTTATTGTTATGGGGGAGGTTGCTATCGCACCCCCCCCCCTCCTGGCTACGCCTATGGATATTTTGGCAACTTTCATGTTTACCCCGCCCCCTAATAATTTTTGCACCCCCTCTAAATATCAGACCCGTCAGGCGTTGAGGCATGGATCAGGATACCCTGACTCCCAAGCTGTGCGACTCCTGGCAACCGCTACACCTATATTCCCGGGGAAACGCTTTTAGAAAAATTGTCAAATATGGTCGTGTGTGGGCAAACACGGAGGAGGAGGAGAGGGATGCGTGCATTGTGTGCGACTCTTCATCAGTTGTGTACCTTATTTTTGTATGAATCTCTTCCGAATAGTTATGCTAGAGGGGTTCTGATATTTATTTCTGTTTTCAAATGAAATAATTTCACCCTTGCCCGACTGACTTGTAGATAATGCACGAATCAAATAGCATGGAGATCAGATAATCAGATTGATTCGTATTTTCGCAATCAGATGAATTAACTTATTGTTTTCTCTGATTAAAAAGCGGTTTGAAGCTACTTTTACAGGATTTGTAAATTCGCAATCAGACTGGCTTATTTTAATATTTAGTCAGTGCAAGAGGAGGGGACTATTAATGTAGAAAATTGTTTTGATTTCGACACTAACTGAATAATTTATCACAATTGTTAAATACGCAAACAGAAACAGGTTTAAAAATGAGAATAGAGGCAAAAAGTCTAGACATAAAAAGTAATTAAAACCCGGGAATTAAAAGCAATTTTAGACTTAGATGATCTCTTCTGTAATCAAGGTGATGTTGGTACACTTCCGCCGTTAGAAAAACAAAGACTAAGACAAAGACTATATAGCAATTAATCATTTTGTAATCATTAAATGTTAGATTCTTATTATCTTGTTGGACAATGTTCAGACTTCTGACCAAGATTAAATCATTTATGTTTGTATTTAAAAAATAGTATTTCAATCAGACAGACGTGGTGCTAATGAGTTCGAAAAATACATTTGTCCATTTCCTCTCAAGAAGTTTTCAAAGGTAATCAAGTCGATTTGTTTCAGTGTTTAGCATTGTTTTTCATAACTCGACGCTAATTTTAGCTTTTATACGGACATGCTTATTGTATATTTCTATATGAACGTTGTAGTTATGTGATGTAACATCGCCCCCCCCCCCCAAATTACAGGTATACACATTTAGATCGGAATGCATTAACTTGCAATTAAAAGCAATTTTAATTTTAATCTCTTATGTAATCTAGGTGATGTTGGTACACTTCCGCATTTAAGAAAACAAAGACTAAGACAAAGAGAACTAAGCAATTAATCCTTTTGTTATCATTAAATTTTAGATTCTTATTTTTTGATTGGACAATATTAAGACTTCTGTCTCCGATTGTTATGCAGGTATGTGTATAAAATCATGTGAACAACATTATCGTGGAAACTCCCATCTTCATTCTCATAATGTCTTAAAGCTATTTCGCAAATGACATTATCCTAAACAACATATGGACATAACGATAATATCGCAGAACTGAACGAAAAGAAAGGTGGAACAAATTAGATTAAGGTATTTTCTTTTTGAAATGCACAAAGGGCAACAGTTGAAGAACAAAAGTTAAAGGCGTTTTGAAATAGATCGTGCTTGTATATGATCCCCTTCTATAATACCCTACCTTTTGCATTTGTTCGACTTCACTTCTTAAATGAGAGTTTCGTCTTCTCGTAGTTTATAATTAGACTCTGCACGCAGCGTAATAGTGCCCCTATTATCCATGTTCAGGGGCGTAGCCAACTTTCAGTCGGGGGGGGGGGGTGCGATCGCCAAAAAAAACAATAACGGTTTTCAGTCGGGGGAGGGGGTTGCGATCGTGGCAAAAGCAAGCCAAAAGATGCAACTTCCTTCAAAATTGAGCTTGAGGCTTCTATCTCTTCTTCTATTTCTTGGTTCTATTTTATTGGTTATGCACCGCAACCCCCCCCCCCCCCTGGCTACGCATATGCCTGTCGAGAGACAAAAAGAGAAGCGTTAAAACAAGTACTTCCAATAAATACTTTTACAGTTATATGTGTTTATCAACGACCCTACTTGTCAAATTAATAGAAACGAAAA